GGGGGTGTGGGTGTGGGTGGGTGTAGGTCTGCAGATCTAATAATGGACAAGTCCAACACCCATAGTCACACCAACACCCACACCCACACCCCACACCCACACACCCATACCCACACTCACACCCACACCCACACCCACACCCTACTAGCATTCTATCAGAATATATTAACTATTTACTCTTTGCAATTCTAAAGGATTAACCAAAGAATGATGACCCAATGTGTTCCAAAATAAATCGAATAAAACAATTTTCATGTAATTATTAACAACAGCTACATTGTTTTTCAAATTTGACTTCCTTACAGATTTCGCTAGCAGCTTTTTCTGGTATGATCAAGGCAACGTTTATTCGGTTAAATTTCTATGACCGTCTTAAATTTCGTTTTTTGAATATACGTTAACATTTACCGAAGAACTCAGAAATCTATTAAAAGTTTTGAAAGCATAGAGATGTACATATCTATACCAAAAAAAAAATTAAAAGCCTTAGATCTGAAAAAACTCAACCGAAGTCTGTTTAAAAAGTAGATTATGTGAGTGGCATATAGTGCACTTCCCAGCGAATCGGGTCCCTATTCATACTCATGGAAATCATGCATAAAATTCTAATTAAATTAAAGTGATAATTATAAGTTATTACGTCAAATTCCGATAGTATTTTTAACCAGAATTTTATAGATTCCTATTAGTAAACGTAGTCATTTTGATGGTTTTACCAAAGCACGAATTATTGCAAAGAAAGAATTGATAAACAGTCGAAAAGCCCCCAATGAGCATATGAAGTTTAATGTTTGAACTTATTGCTGAACTCTTTTTTATTGAGACTAGTATAATCTCGTTTTAGAGTAACAAAAAAAATATTGACATGTACAGAACGACAGTGTTCAAAATGGGGCGTGCAATATCACGCTTCTCCAGGTTCCGTTCAACCGGGCAAGGAGTATTTGCCAATCATCGGACGAGGCTGAAAACCTTTTACGGGCATAGTTAGATTCAAAAACAGAAAAAAATTCACAAAAAAGTTTTTGAAAATGTTTCTTGGCAGATTAAAAAACCCGGGTCTTCTAATACGTTTTTCAAATTTTTGACCAAGGGGGTCTTCAATTATGAGGGGAGGTTTACGTCGTACCTACTATCATGCCTTACCAGTTCGGCGTGGTCCGCTCTGCGTGTACCCATTTCAGGCTTACAGAGTCTCACCCTGGTCGCGCGCGCGCGCGTACGAGAAAATGAGCCGAAAAAGAAACCGAAAAGGAAAATGAATAGCAATCGAAATGAATTTATTGAGCAAACAAAAAGAATAAATTACATTTTCTTTCGAATGTTTTCAAATGTTTCTTTATAGTCCAAAATATGAGGATGAGTTGAAGGTAATTTTTCTTGTGCAATTTCTATTGTTTGTTGAATATTTTTCATTGCCACATTATATTGTCGAGTAGATAAATATAATTTTGCCATATTGTGATATACAACAGCTAAATCAGGATGATTTTTTGGTAATTTCTTCTGACGTATTTCTAATCCTTTTTGAAAATATGTCAATGCTGTTGTATAATCTTTCATTTCTCGATAAGTTTCACCTAAATTTATATATGTCAATGCACATTCGAGAGGATTACATTGAACATTTTCTTGAATACTTAATGCTTTTCTATGAAATGAAAGTGCTTTTTCATAATCTCTCATTAATCGATGAACATCACCAATGTCACTGTATGTAATAGCGTTATCTGGATGCTTTTCAGGTAAAGCTTTTTGACGTATTGAGAGGCAGTTTTCAAAATTCTCAAGTGCTCTTGAATAATCTTTCATACCGCGATAAATCTTTCCGAACCATTTGAATGTATAAGCCAAATCAGGATGATTCGGAGACAGAGCTTTTTCTCTTATTTTAAGTGCTTTTTCGTGAAATTCCAGTGCTTTCGAGTAATCACCCATGTTGTAATACACTACACCGATGTTGTTGTAGGAAGAAGCGAAATTGGGATGATCCAGAGGCAGAGCTTTTTCGAATATTTTAAGTGCTTTTTCGTAAAATTCAACTGCTTTCGAGTAATCACCCATGTCGTTATACACTGAACCGATGTTGTTGTAGGATTGAGCCAAATCGGGATGATTCAGAGGCAGAGCTTTTTCTCTTATTTTGAGTGCTTTTTCGTAAAATTCCAGTGCTTTTGAGTAGTCACCCATGGCGTTATACACCGAACCGATACAGGAGTAAGAAGAAGCCAAATCGGGATGATTCGGAGGCAGAGCTTTTTCTCTTATTTTAAGTGCTTTTTCGTAAAATTCAAGTGCTTTCGAGTAGGCACCCATGTTGTGATAAATGAAACCGATGCTGACGTATGAAGTAGCCAAATCAGGGTGATTCGGAGATAAGACCTTTTCTTTTCTTTTAATTGTTTTTTCGTAAAATTCAAGTGCTTTCGGGTATTCACCCAAGTAGTTATACGCGAGACTGATGTTGCTGTAGATATTAGCCAATGAAGGATGATCTTCTGGGAGAATTTTTCGGTAGATTTTGAGAGATGTCTCA